GGTAGTAGTGTGTGTGTGTGTGTGTGTGTGTGTGTGTGTGTGTGTGTGTGTGTGTGTGTGTGTGTGTGTGTGTGTGTGTGTAATACCGCTCACACACCGCTACACATATGTTAATATTTTCTTATGTTTTAAGTAAATTTGCAAGAAACTTGATATTTTAGTTTTAGAATTAATAAAAACTATTCTTACTATGAGCGTTGATTATCACGAAATTATTAGTTCACAATGAAACAAAGTTACAAGTTAAACCTTTCGTGACTTCGTCGATGAATAATTGAAGAAATAATTAGGAACGTCACGTTCACGTTTCAGTGACTATATTCTCACTTTGCGAATGTAGACAATCAATGAGCGATCAATAGACCATAATTGCTTTCGAGTACTTTCGAAGCACAATTATTTGTATCTATATAATATACATAAATATACAAAAAGTGAAATTCTAAAATTACATAAAATGTAATCTTTAAACTTTTGAAGGAGGTCGCTTGAAAAATTAAACACGACGCTTGATTTTAATCTTCTTCAATCGACTCACCATGTCCGCCGCAAAATCGGACGTCTGAAGAAATTGGAAGGATGCCGGCCGGTATTTCGACTCTGGCGCCGTCAACAGACGCGGGATCTTTCGGGGATTATGAGACGAAGGATCCGCCGGCTTTTACAATTTTACAAAAAGACGGCCTGGACTCGAGTCTGCCGCTCTTACATGTCAACGAGGACGATGAGATGAACGCATCACGACTCACCAACTTGGAGAACATAAAGAACGCAATGAAGAATAATCTTTATAATGGCAGACGCATCAGTAAATCCAATGAGCATCTGGTGCTGGCTAGTTTACAATCGAATCAAGCCAATCCATTGAAGAAGAAGCATCAGAGTAAAAGTCAGGATAGTCTGGATGTAGTTGAAGAGAGACTACCCACGGCTAAATCTAGTATCATCTTATCAACGGAGGACTTCAACGAGGTGCTGAACGCGAAACTTAAAAAGATTCAAGAGCAAGCCGAGGCCGAGCAAGGCCGCAAATCGCCTAAAAAATCGATCCTGCCACAGAAGAAGCCGTTCATTACAACCGTGAAGACGGGGGAATTTCTAATGCCGCCACCGGAAGTGGCGGCCTTGCTCGGCATAGCGCCCAGTGGAAACGACGAGGAAGCGACCGACGGATGCCCTCTGAGAAGCAAGTTCAAGCCACTGGTATCACTGGTCAAGAGACCGGAAGTACGTCACAGTAGCCACAATGCCAGATGTTCAGCCGCCCTAAAAGCCACCGTGGACTTTTCCCTCGGCATGATGAACGCCACCACTATCGCCACTGCTTCAACCTTGAACGAGCAGGCGAGGAGGTTCAAGAGAAGCGAGCCGGCGTAAGTGACACTGAGGTGACGTAGCACAGCCGCGTTATAGACGCCGTTCAATTGGCACGACGGTGTCGTGATCGTCTCCTTGCAGGGGCGGATTTGCAAAAAGAGAATCGCGATGATGCTTGCCCCCGGGAAACCTCGCACATTTTTATTTGCAGAAATATTTGTACATTTCTTTTTTTTTTTAAATTGTACATAGAATAGAAATGTTACTTCTAATGTCTTCTAGTTTAATTATATTTCTATTAGGAGCAGTAAAAAGTTAAAGTCAAGGATAGGGGGAATTCGCCCTTGTTTTCATTGAATTTATTTCGTATCATTTCGAATAATGACACTATCTTGGATATTTATCTGGGATACAAATTGTGATATGCATCTTCGTTAGTTTTATATTATTCTCATTAAAAATTCAATATTTTCAAAGTAAGTAGATATTACTAGAATACAATCGATCGACTTGTGCTAAAAAGTGACTTCATGGAAAAAGCTTATCGTCGTCAATCGACACGCGTCTTAAAGAACTTAGAAGCGTAAAATATATCTACTCTAAAGAACAAAATGCGATTATGAAATCAATTGAAGCGTGAAAATAAAAGTAACAAGAAATATTCTGAGAGGAGGAAAAGAGTGTAAGAAGAGCGGGAAATTGTTTTTCTAGCAGATTCCCGCAGACGCCGCGAGCTTTACCAAAAAAGTTGGAACCGATCGAGGGCATGACGAATATGCTGCCGAGACTTCGCGGGTAACAAAAATACCTTACAAGTGGCACCACTCTTATCACTGGTCTTTTAGTTGATAGCAGCTGCTTTTTTCCCCGCTTTTTTTCTTCTCGTCGGCCCGATTTTATTCTCGTACGCTTGCAATCGCGTTCGAGTTTCTCTCTAGATTGTCATCGCTCCTGATGCACTACATTGCTGAATTTTCGTAGAAAGTCATATTTGATGTGGTTGTTCTCGGCCAAATAATATTAACCTCAGGACCTCACACTGAGGTCCACTACATCCCAACTAATGCCATTAAATATGAATATTAAATTGTGAAATTTAAATTGGATTAGTGGATCTCTCAATTCTTCATATTTTTAATATGTAATTGACGATTTTGTTCGTTTAATTGCTTACCACAATTGTTACGTGAATGAGCAAAGAAAATTCTGAGAAGACCAGTAGGAGGAAATAGGTCGCTAAAAACAAGTGTGAGGACAGAAGGTTAATTCTTATTTTTCTTCAATTATTCTTCTATCAAGATTTTTATAACTGATTATTACATTATCAATAATTATAATTTGAAGAATATGACTATTTGTCAAGCAAAAAACTGTCGATTCTGTTCCATAGTAATTCTCTTCATAATCAATCTTCAAAGATTGATTGCCTAGATCAATCTTAAATTTTTTAAAATTTTTGTTGGATAGAAATAAATGAAAAAAATTAATGGGTTCTGCACATGAAAATATGTTATAAATGTTTTGTTTCGATCACGATAAATACTGTCGTGATTGTTATCAAAAACCATTACCATGCAGCAGGGTCGTAGACATTATCGTCGTGACGTTTTGCTATGCGATTGAAACGCATGCTTCATTAAATGCGGAGGTAGATGCATCACAAATATAATAACAGATCTTTAATAACAGATTATTTAGACATTTCTTTCCTACATTATAATTTGCTGCATAACGTGACGTATAATCTCTCTTTTTATTGATAATAATTTTATTTTATTAAAATTAATTAAAATTATATTTCTTTATATATAATTTAATAATGAGATAATATGAAAACTTTCATATAATAATAATAAATTAAAATAATTCTGTTATATCAGTTGGAAAATTGACGAAATAAATTCAATCACTTACGGAAATATTAAGATACGGACTGAAATAAACTATTATAACCTCCAAAACTGTATAATTAATTAAAAATTAATTTACATTAAAATAAATATAGCTTTATATATATAATCATTTTAGAGAAATTTATTATTTTGCAAAGTTTGCCAATGCTTGCCTAAGAGAAACAGATTTCGCAATAATTACTCAGCATGTTAAATTCTCAGCTGAGCTTTTCTCAAATTTGTTTGATATGTTATCATGAAAAAATGAATTTTACTGTAAATTTTATGTTATTTTACAGCGATCAGCCGATTCCTTTCGGGAATATTATGTTTGACCGCCGCGTTACTCGCGGAAGCACAACGGCTTCCGTTTCTACTCTCGTAAGTATTCTAATCTATCAAAGCAAAAGATTTATGTGTTTTTTTTTTTTTATACGTTTTGTATTATTCGTACTTGTCTAGATCGATGGGGAACAATCGATAGCAGTGAGGCAAGCGGAAGCGAGACGAAGGCATTTGGCGAGGAAACGTGCTCAAGTGCAAGTTTGCAGATCGTTCGTCGCCAGAACGGGTTCACCCCCTCCAGTTCCTGGAAGAAAACACGAACCAGTGCAAACCGAGCTTTTCCTCGAGGAGGTTAACTCAAATCTTTTATATCTATATTTTATTGTAGCGATGAAATATTACTTTTTATTAGATAAGCTTAGCGTACGTTAAATGTTAAAATAAACATATTGAATATTTAAGTTGACAGAGAAGCCAGACGAATCTGAAGTAGCCACGCAAACTGATTACTTCTTAGAAAAACCAGTACTACCAAGCTATCAAGTTCCAGACAAGATTGGTCGGGATGTCTATACCCAAATCGAACCGGGAGAAGTACGTGTTCTGAATATTTTATTAGAGAAGACATTGATATTTGACTATGCTCAGATTGATCTACAGAATAAATTTTTTATATCATAATATTTTAGCTTTTCGATTATGATACTGAAGTCCAACCAATTCTGACGGTATTGGTAGGCAAAACTATCGAACAAGCACTAATCGAGGTTCTAGAGGAAGAGGAAATCGCTGCTCTTAAGGAGCAGCAAAGAAGATTCTTGGAATTGCGCATGGCTGAAAAAGCTGAGGAGCAACGATTAGCGGAAGAAGAAAGAAGACGTAAAGAGGAGAAGGTCTTATCATCCATCTTATTCATTTTAATATTTTAATATTTAATATTTTGGCTTTCTAATGTCCATTTCTATCAATATAAGTGTAACTTTAATTTTGATTTAATTTATCTTTTATTTTTTTTAGTTCTAAAAATTTGAAAAAAATATAGAGTAAATTAAACCAAGATTAAAATTAATAGACATTGGTAGAATAGATATAAGTCACTCAATTATTTTACATTATCATAAGATAAAGATGCAAGAAAATATATTATATATAAAATATTATATAAAAAAATAAATTTGTTTTCAATATACAGAATCGACGCCAGAAACAACATGAAAAAGCGATGAAGGCTCAACAGGAAACCGAAGAACGTGTCGCGGCTGCGGTATTGTTAACGGGATATATCGCCGAACTTTTACCCGCGGTTTTGGAAGGATTAAAAATGTCTGGCTATTTATTAGATGAGATCAAGGCTGGTTCGTCAATTTGCATGAAAACATTGATTACTTTTTTTTAATCTAATAACTTTTTAAGTTCTGTTTAGTTATCAATGTTATCTCTATTGAATTTATTATTCCACTTCTCCTTTCTCATCGCTTTTATTTCATCGATAACGCATTAACATGTGCTGTGACTATATGTTTCAGATGTTGAAGAAGGTTTCATGCCGTGGTTAATGAAAGAGGTTAAAAAGGAAATGGGTAATATGATCGAAAGCAGAGAATTATTAATGGGTAAGGTTGAGCTAAAAATAAAATTTTTTTAAGAGCACAATTGTATTTTCCTGAATTTTATTTAAAAAAATAGAAGTTTTAAGGAGTTTTGTTCATGATAATTTCCTATAAGCAATAACAAATAAGCAATATGTATAATGTGCAATGTTACTATATACATGAATATTTTACAGAAATTATTAGAGAAATCTTAGAGAATCGTGCACAAACATACAAGCAGCTTGGTGAAGAGTATGATATGTCAAGAGACAAGAGATTAGTAAACGAATATAATTTAGAAGGAGGTGAAACTGATAGTAATTTTGTGGATTACGAATCATCCGCAATGGGTGAAAATAATCATGCAATTTAGCGTGATAAAAAATTTGGTACGATCCTGTATATATTTGTAATATAGTACAAATCTAAAAAAGATATTTATTTTAGTAGGCAAGTTGAAATTATATATATAAAATCTCAGCAAAATTTTATTTAACAGTTACATTTAGGATTAAAATATAGACAGAAATTAAAATGTAAAAAAGTAAACAGAGATTAGAAAATGTTAATTATTATTTAATTAGATTATGGATATTTAATGATAATTCAATAATAATTTGTGTAATTATTAACATTCTCACGCAGTTTTGGAAATATTAAAGAGGTTGAAAAATGAACAAGCTATAATTAACTTTTGGAAAAAATGAACAAGTTATAATTAACTTTTGGATAATGGGATTTACCTTAACCTTAACCAGCACAAAAGCAATATCTGAACCCGCTACCTTCTACATTAAGCAGTGTACACAGCTGTGCAACAAATCCATCTCCTTCGCTTGCACCCTCTGACAGGTCACTGCAGCGCTCGCAATCCCTATCGCAAACAGTAACCGCCGAAAGGACGAGAAAGACTCATCAAAAATTAATTATCGATTCTCAAAATCAACGCGGTGTGATCTGTCATAGAGAAAAGGTGTATAAGAAAAGAAAAATTATATCAAGTTTATCTCGAAACTATTTTTCTAAAAACTATAAAGCATTTTTGTTTTGCTGAGATCTTAATATGTATTACAATATAACACGTCATATTATGATATTATAAAAGACAGATTGTTTTGTATATAATATTAATATATTATTTATAATGTATATAATATTAATAATTTGTCGTTTATTTGTCTGCACTTTAGATTATTATGGGAACGCTACACAACGCTTCAAGACAAAATAAGAAGCTAATTATATTCTAAGATGTAATACATGGTTTATTCATAATTCCGAAGATATATAAAAAAATTTAAGTACATATTAAATAAATAAAAATGTTTAAAATGTTTGATATACTCTCAAACCATACCTTATGAATTATATCATATGAATTATTCTTATTTATGGAGTGAGCATATTATTAGATTTTTAATAATAATTCGCAACATATATTCTGAAGATAAAATGAGTATTCAAAAATCTATTGTTTTAAAATTCACTTCTATTTATATTAATTCAATATTTGAATTATCATTCTAATCCATGCATATATTGAGATTAATATATTGAAAAAATTTTGCTGAAATTTTGCTACATGAAAAAACATATATAATATCACTAAAATAGAATACATTTTTTGCACTTACTAGTCAGATTATTATTTCAGATAATAAAAAAAAATTTCAATATCTGTCATAAATGTCATGAATTGCGTTGACAAGAATCAGTATAGTTAAACATGAATAACTTAATATATGTAAAACATTTAACAATACATATATATAAAGTTAATATACTTAATAATCCATATATATATTTAATATTTCTTGTATATTTATATATAAAACATTTAAGATTTAGATCTCAAGCTATTATTCTTACTCGTATATAAAGTAGTCATCAATCAATACAATCAATACATCAATCAATATGTATGGATAAATTATATATAACAAAATTTAGATCAAAATTGACTTGTTATAAAAATAGAAGTAATCATTAATTATTATTATATAAAATATAGAGATTAACATATAAAAATTCTCAGGCTATAGGTTGTCGTTTTTTCAATTTCAATGCACTTACGAAAACGCAATTATGATCATATAATTTTTTAATTTTTTAATAGTCCTATAAAAAAATGCAAAATAATGCCTGACTTTAATCACGAACGCAAACAATAACGTTCAGCGGAATGGATAAACTGGGCCATGATTTGAAGCAAGGACTGAAGCAAGAACTAATTGCGACACTTCATTTAAAATTTAGATTTAGAAAATGAAGATCTTCAAAATAAGCTCAATCCATAGTATCCAAGATTATTTTTTCTTCCTGGCAATATAAATAATTAAGCTCCCATTCATTCACAGCAAGAAACAATAATTGATCTTATCGTTAGCACAGCGGATCATATTCAAAAACATGAGAATAACATGACTATATATTAATTGTTACACTCAGTATATCATACGGAAGTTAATTTTCATTGAGAAGAAAATTTAATCTAAAGTAATTTGCTGCTATTATTCCATTAGTAACAAGAAATGATCAAGAAAAGATCAAGAAATTTTAATAATAAATTAAAATGTATAAATTAAGATACAATATACGAGAAAATTCTTCCAAATTGCTAATGCGACCCACTTAACGGCAAGCTACTCACGTCTTTTGATTCGCAAAAAAATAACATTTTTTAAACGCTTTATTATAAATATCAGTATTTTTGTATTCACCTAAAGTAAAATAAATACTGTGAACACAGATCATTTCTAAATTTTATCCTTAGATACGGTCATTTTATAGACCACCGATACCGTCGTCAGAGTAAAAAACCTGTCCGCTCCAATCAGGATTAGATCGCTTGTAATGGGATGAGGTTTCACGCTGAATTGAGATCGGCACAGTTTTAAAAAGCCACCCACCCTCTTTAACTAAGCCCTCGCGGGTAAGGGGTGGAAGCGGAGTGAGACAAGGGGACATATTGTATTGGATTAAATTAAGCAGGGGGACTGCTTTCTCGTACCGTGCGCTATATGCACAAAAATTGTGTGCCAAGTGAATCGTGTTTTCTGGGGAAGGAGGAAGGGGCAATCTACCGCATGCTGAATAAAGAGGGGTAAGAGATGTCCAGTACACCGGGACTGGTATGCCACGAGGGATCCGACATTATTTTGTCCTGTGACCCATATCACCTGCATCTTCACGTGATTTTTTTCTCGTTGCAGATACGACACGTGCAAATTTATGAACTCCTGCTGTAAAAATACGAGTCCGTGTAATTTTATAAAAAAATAAAAAATATTTTATTAATTCTTGTCTTCTAATTTAATTTTATGATTTTTACATCAATATTTGCAATAAAAATTTATTACATTATGCAATTTTATTATCTCATAGAAATATCTTTCTATCAACTATTAGCTTGAAAACGAAATACTGTTATATTTTAATATTTATTCGTGAATAACACGTGGATTGACTCTTAAAATCAAGTAAATAGTTCCTAATGGTTAAATACTGCCTTTTATTTATATATAAACGCGGGGCGCGTGATCAGGGATCGAGAATATCTGTGGGGTACTCGATGGTCACGTGTCATGTTACATGGCATTCGTTTCAGGACGCGCGCAATATGTCGATGTGGCACGTGAACAGCGGAAGTGCACTTTGACTTCTCTTACATAGAATGTAACACAAAAAAATTTGCAAAATTTCCTTATAAATGTGTCAAGCATTTAAATTAATCTAACTCAAATCATTTAAATATAAAAAATTTTTCATTGAACATAAAATTTTGCATAAAAATTATTATTCATTGTGTGCAAAATTGATTAATTAATTATTGTTAATAATTATAAATATAATAATTACTAATAATATTACAAGTGTAATATTATTACACTTATACTAGCATATATTTATAATTTATAATATAATAAATGTAATATAAATTCAAATAAAATAAAAAAATAATATAAAAAAAAGATAATTATTTAACGATATTCAGATAATTATTGTTTATCCGGCTAAATTCTTTCTCATCGACTAAAAATTTGCCGGCTTGACTAACGCAAATTGCAACGAATATTAATAATACATAAGCCACCGCCTCGTTCGAGGCGACATTAGAAGTAGTCTTTTGACACTTACAGAACCGAGACGAATCACCTTTATGATCACCTCCCCGCAAAAGCGACCATAACTCAGGATTTCAATAGAGGGATACAGAACAATAAGATTGGTTCCATCTCCTCGTAGCAAAAGGTTCTAAGTCCACGCGCATCTTCCGTCACCGAGAATTTGTATCACTGTTTTTAAACAGTGTATACAGAATTGCCCTTATCGATAATGACAACATAATATAGAAAGTTCATAACATATAATGCACAGTTTATATTAAAAAGACATCTATCTACATCGATTACAAAACAATATATTTTTTTTCAAATCTGAATATTTACAAAAAGAAAAAAACGTAATATGTACATGTCGTTGAATAATATTTAAAACTTAATATCATTAATAATTGACAATAATATAATAATTGTTACATGCGTATGATATGCAAGAAATTTATAAATTGTGTTGACACTATATATATTATTAAAAATGTAACATCTCTATATAAATTTTTATATTTCTTAAAATAAATATCGTATCTCTTTTCAGCATAGTTTGTTTATTTTGTTTATACAGTATATATAAGGGAGAATTTCCTGGTTAGAATTGGATCGTGTCGCATCGCGTTCTCCTGTATGCAAGACCGAGATGCACTTGTGTCTCCTCGTGTCTCGTCACACCGGGTGCTTGGTGCACGGCTTGGTGCGCGAATACAAGATCGCGGAGGGGTGCTTCCGCGTAGGCTTATTTTGAGCATCCCACCCATGAGGGTGCCGCGATAATACGTAGATGATAATCGCGATATTAATATCGCATTGGGAAGCGCACACATGCGTGCAAGGGGCCCATTGGTCACGGCGGAACACTTGCTCGCTTGCTGGCTCCGCGGTTGTCTGAATTGCACCCTGATTTTAGAAAGAGACGACCCAGAAGTACGGCCCTCTGCTACGGTGCAAACGACAAAATTGAAATTTATCAATAAATTGCAAAAAGAAGCTACATTTAATATCGTCAATATTCTGTACAATATTTATTAAAAATGATAATTACATGTATAAAGCTAATTTTATCCAATTTATTAAATTATTTTATCATCATGATAATTATTATATTGCCAATGAAATAAGTTCGCAGATAAATGTTATATCATGAAATAAAAGATTTGGTAAACTTTATATATCTCCTTCTACCATTATTTCCTTTAATAGCTAGCTGCTTTTATTAGCTAGATACCTGAATCTTTCGTACTTTCCTATCCACCAATCGCAAAGAACTAAAACACTTGCCGTGTACGTTTTGGGGTACGCGATAGAATGGCGAAACACTCGTGCTCGAGTTTCCAACGTTCAGAGAGGGGTTGGTGTAGGGGATGGTGCGGCTTGTGAACACTCGTGTCATTCCCTGCTCCGACATCATACACGCGGATGAATCACGTCATTCATAAAAGAGATTCGCGGCTTGAAGGAACCATGTCATTTTTCTGGTTCCGAATCAGACTGATGAGTTACGTGTAGCTTCAAAATCATACCTTAAGAATTCATGAAAGAATCGAATTCACAAAGTATTTAATAAAAATTGTTATTATTATAAATAAATATTATCTATTTCTGTCTAAAAGAAATAATTTCTTAAATTCAGTTAAACATAATCCTATTAAACAACAATATTTTTAAGATATAAAAATAGCTATAAAAATTATTAATACTTATATTTTGTTGTATTCTGTAGTGTTTTATTATTTCTATTTTTATTATGTTCTATTTTTTATCTTTATCTTTTATTTAAATAAGTGAGATATATAAATGATTTAATAATTCATTATAAATTTATTATAAGCTTCAATATAAATTTTTAAGAAAAAACATTATTAATTTTCTCCAATCAATTATTCTGATAAATTATTATCTCAACGATGAAATCAATCAAGAAATATATAAAAAAGACATTTAAATATTTTATGAACGGGTGCGAACTTTAAATGTAAAATTATAGTTAAAATAAATATAATCTTATGAATTATATAATAATTACATAATTATATAATAATTTCATGAATTATAAATTTATTAAAAAATTCTTAATAAATATATAATTCATAAGATTTATTTTAAATACAATTTTATATTTAAAATCAACACTAATTCATAACATATTTAAATAATTAAAAACTTGTAAATAACTAAATATATGTATATAAATAATACATATGCATACACATATGTATTTATGCATATATAAAATGCATTTTTATTCATTCTCGAAATAAGAAATTTATCATGCATCTACTACTTTGGCACTTATATCAATATTCAATCATGCATAAGCAATTCTTCACATTAATCTTGTCGTTGAAACGAGAAGCATGTTACGTCCAGCGAAAAGCGTTTTATGAGATCGTCTATCTGTATATACAAAAAAGAGAAAGAGTGACAGAGAAAAACACGTATTGGCAAGATAGCACCAAATCATTGAATGCATCAAGATCGACGGACGATTAAACAAATCCGAATGATATCGCGCCTACGCGATCAACAGCTCGGGGACCACCGGGAAGAATAAGCCACTTAATTTCCTAATCAACCGTTGATTCAGATGCACCTTTCGGCCGATCCCTCTTGGTAGTACAGAAACTCATAGTGAACCACAGCTGAGCCAAACAATGTCTTTTCACATGAGGCTTTTATAGCCCCATCAAGAGTATTGAAGATCCGCTCCTGGTTCTACTCTACCGATCCGCGAATCGCATCCGCGTCTTCATCAAAATTGTGACAATTGCATTTTGCAATGATATAATTAAGATCAAGACGTGCGATGTATCAGTTACTAATTTTTGCAAAAACACCCTGTCA